GGTTATTTAACCAATTATCAGTTCAAAAGTTCAAATGGTTCAAAAAAAGATTTGAACTGGTTAAATTGCCAACACTGTGATATAGACATAGCAAAAATTGATTTGTAACACTATAATTGACACCTTATCAAGATAAAATTGAAAAAATCCTTAAAGATATTTGAACTATTGGTCAAATGAAAAATACTTATGGCTTAGATTTAAATTGACCCTTATCTTGTAAACAAAATACTTCTAAAATTGATTTTAATGAAGCAAAACAGATAATTATAAATGTACTTTAAAAGATTCTTTTTTTAAAAACAAGCTAAATTTTTAAAGGTTTTACATTAGGATTTACTGTTGTTATATTGTTCCAGTTAATTTGAAAAATTAACAAAAAAACCAGTAAACCATATAGACTTAATCCTATACTTAATATTAACTAAGTTATAAAGTTACTCTTCCAACTTTCTTTTTTTACTACTGGCCAATTCATTATTTTTTTGGTAAAGTTTGCTTTTGACCTCTTGCTTCTTGAACAAAAGACTTATTTTCTGCTTGTCAATAGACTTCATAAGTAATTCTTTCCTTATCTAATTATTCTTGTAAAGATTTAGGATTAGTTAATTTAAAAACATAAGAGGCAATTTTCTCACCTTGTTCCTTCTTCAAAATACTTCTGATAGTACTGTAATTCTTAGGTTCCATAGTAGATTTAATATAGATCAGCTTCATATAAATAGTTTTATAGGAAGGAATAGATATATATATATCAAGCATAATGATAATGTTTGGTAAAATTATTTAATGTTCACTTTGTTTTGTTTTGTTGCAGTATGCCCATATAAGGTATATAAATTAATAGAATAGCTTAATAAATACAAGATTATAATAATAGACATTATTTCTTGTCACTTTCTAATAAACAAATATTTTGAGAAATTTAACAAGCACTAATATTGAAAACAATTCTTACAAAGCCACAAATTCATTGGGATTTGTTTATTGATTTATTTATTCTGATTTTATTAAATATTTTGTAATAAAGAAATTATTTTAATAACAATTTTTAAGAACCTATATAAAAAATTTTTCTTTTCAAATTGTTTATCTCTTGTTTTTTTTTTTTAAAAAAAAAAACCAAATATAAAAAGAAAGAAGAAAATGCACATCCACAAAAATCGTTATTATTTATTTTAATAATTCGATTTTAGCATCATCAAAACGTTTCTCATTCTCATTAATTCTGATAAGTGACCTACCAGTCTTTTTACAAGTACGTTTTGTTTTTGAGGAAGACGATTGTGCTGAATTTAATATTCCATTGTTGTCGCAATTAATACTAATACCGTCAATTATTCCATGGAAAGCATCAGATCCGCCATTATTATTAATTTGCACATCCAATTGTTGAGTGATATTTTTAAGTATTATTCCACAATCATCAATTATTAAAAAAGAATAATCGCAACCTGGTCTAAATCCACTGGAGAATTGACCAGCAAATGTTGTTGAATCACATTGATTTTGTGACAAAAATATAAAACCCGTGACTTTCTTACTGAATGTGGCTCGAGCAACAGCGCAAGGACATGCCTCATTACGTTTAGATAACAGTGATCTTTTACTGTATGGACACACATTGTTTCTTTTCTTTAACTTGGATGAAGAACTTTGTGCTGTTGATGAAGCAGAAACTGTAGTAGCACTTAAAAGAGTGGTGATGAGGATGATGAAAAATAAAACATAAATAAAAGAAGATATTGGAATGAATTTTTTATTCATATTTATATATTAATCGTAAAATCAGTATTAATTTAATTTAATTAATATTAATATTAATATTAATATTAGGAGTCCTTATTTTTTTTAAAGTGTTCCGAAAAAAAAAAGTATTAGTAGTATAGGAACAAATCCTTTTTATATAAGTAAATAATTGTTTCTAAAAATAAAAAAAAAAAAAGAAATCAGAAAATAGGACAAAGAAATATTAACAATAGTAATAGCATTATTATTAATAAAAAAGTGCTCAATCTTGTGAGAATTTACTTCGCCCTTTCTGCACCATATCCGGATGAACACAAAGAGTTACTAATCTTCTCGCTCTCTTATAAGTATAAGTTAATTGCAAACGTTTAACGTTGATTGGGTTAAACAAACTCGGCTAACCGGAATTCCCTCAGAATCAGGTGAAACAAGAATGGTGGTGGCACATCAGCTCCATGAGGCTTTTCAATAAAATCTAAAAATAGATTTTGGAGGATAAAAAAGGTTTGTTTGCATTTCATTTCAATTACTAAAAATATCCGATCCGAAAAGATTCCAAGTGAAGAATTGTATATGGTATTAACTCAAAATTGCTTTTTTCGCATTTCCTATTGGAAGTCTTCAAATATCTGAAATCTATCGTGGATCTATGGAGTGCTTGGTAATAAGCGTGGATGCAGATTACCAAAAAATCATTAGTATTAGTACCATTAACGGCATCTTTAAAAATGTCACCAAAAACAATATATTCAACTTCAACAATAGCAATTTATCATTAACACAAACAACAGCAGCATCATCGTAGTCATAATCATTGATTTTTTTTGATGAAGAAAATGGGAATTATCATAAATTAGAAATTGTTAAAAAACGATTTAATTGTTATAGATCCAAACCGCGATGGCATTTTTATTGGTATTTTTGGACCGAGCAAGAAAGAATAGGAATGATCAAAATATTTAAAACACCTTTCAGAATATCAATAATAATATACCTTAATTATTTTATCCTTGATTTCATAATAAACGATGCTGGAGAAGACTTTGGTGTCTATATGAAAATGCAACAAGCTTGGAATGTGGTTTGTAACCAAATCACACAAAAAAATTCAACACAGTAGTTGCATTTGGAAATGGAAACCCTTTGATGAATTAAAAAAGGTGTCGTGTACAGGAGTTCTGTACCAGTCAAATTTGTTCTTTATGTTGCGAGAGAAATTTGATCAAGACAACGATTCTGGTCTATTCAAATTTGTAAGACAACAAATGTCAGGCAGGTAAGTATCATTTACATTAAATTTTTATTGAATTTAATGATTTGCAAACTTTTTCATACTAAATTTTATATATATGTCTCTCACAATACAAGACAAATTTTTTTGCATATATAAGAAACTGGTGGATTGGTTCCACTACAATTCAAAAGAGAAGAATTAAACTTTCAGCTTGACAAGATTGTTTCGCAACTATAATGATCAAGTTAGGCTTTTAATTACCCTCTGTAAAGTGGAGCTAAGGCTGTGACTTGTCAATTGTTCATTATTATAATTATATTATGACGCTTGATTTCCAAAATTAAAGAAAAATATTTTATTAATATCAGCCCACAATGACAAAGAACTTTTGGCTTTTAATAATGGTATATTGTATATTTATGCGTGTATATATTATATAGATATTCTTATTATTATTTAGAGTATCGAAAGTTACAAATGTGGGAACGAAAAAATTATCATGTGAATAATTTTATCTCTTCATCTATCACATTATCCATTTCCATTTTATTGCCGTCTAAATAAATAACTTTATAATTAGTTATTTGATTCGAATCTTTTCTTGTATTTTTTTTAATTTCTGAGGAAATTTCTTCTTTTTGTTGTTTTGGCAAATCATCCCATAATTTTCTAATAACTTCGTCGCATTTTTGAGGATTGATAGAATTGTCGATTAGATCTTTATTAGAAGCTTGTAGCTGATTTAACATGCTATTGTATTTGAAAGTGTCGGCAAGCTTATTGTGGTTTAAACAATACATTACCAAGAAAACTAATTGAGCATTTTTAATACAATATTTTTGTAGATATTCATATTCAGATTCATCTAATTCTAGATCTAATAAAATATTTAATCTGTCTTTCATAGGAACAGGGAAAAAACAAGAATTTAATATTTTTGTTAAAGCTTTAAAATCTCTCTTGTCAATTTGCTTCTCATTACTATGTTTTTTCTGGAACACGTAGGCTTGTTTAAGATCAAAATTAATCAAGATATCTTGCTTAATATCATTAAATTCCTTCATTGATTCTAATGTTTTACTATTTAATTCTGCATAATTTAAAGTTGTTTGAACACTTGTGTTTTTTAAAAAAGTCATTAATATCTTCATATCAAAGTCAACTTCAACGGAGGGATCAGTTAAGAAAAGTGAAGCTTCAGAGTAATAACCATTATCAAGTGACCAATAACCATCCATTAAATTCACAAAATTTGGTAAGATTAAATAAGTTGTTGCAAAGCTTTGGTGTTTATCTGAGCGCCAAAATTTTAATATATAATACATAAGACAATTTTTCCTTAAAGCATCTATTTCAATATCAGAATAAATAGCATCAAATAATGCTTTTAATTCATCTTTACCGTGTGGTGGATAAAGACTATTATCAATGCTTACAAATTTGAGTAAAAGATCAATAATTAATTCATTGTCCATAATTGCCCTTCTTTGCAATATCCCATCAATTATTGTAGTATTATTAAATGGAAAATTGCTTAAGCTTGATAATGATGTTGAATCTAATTCTGGAAATAATTTATTAAACTCGGGTTTTGGTTCTGATGGTATAAAAATATCTCTTTTATATGATTGCATATCACGACTCAAAACTTCTGAACCATCTGAAAACAATAAAACAAAGTCATCTTCATTATATACAGGTGTAATGTCTAATACATCTTGCTTGTTTGTTTCCACTTCCTGGAAGAATGAAACTGTAATCTGAGATCTTCCTATTTTAATCAAGGAAATTACTTTTGTAATTTTAACTTTATCATCATTTTTTTCAACTTGACTAATTAAAACACTTAGGTTGCATATGGATGATCCTTTGACTTTATTAATTTGCATATTGATTATCCTTCCTTTGATTTTATTGAATGGACTATCTAAAGGAAAATTAATTTCATAAAATGTTGGATTATTGAAGTCGAACGATGCTTTAAAGACCCTGATTCGCAGAGATCTATCAAGTTCAAAATCATTTCTACCACCATAACCGACAATTAGTAAATGACATTGTTCTTCTGAAAGTGGTGAAGCAACAATAATATTTGTAATTGGTGCAATAGGATCGGTCCCTTCAATGTGACAAATTGGACGAATGTTTTTCATAGGATTAGGATTATAATTATATAAATCCAAACATCCATTTTCAGTGCCAACAAATAGATAATGTGAATTTTGATATTTGGGAGGTTGATTAGATGACGATGTAAAATATAAACTAACAGTTGTGATTACTAAATCAATTTGATATTGACCACAATGATAATTATAAACTTGTGTATCATATTTGTCTTGAGAAGAAGGTTGTGGAGGAACTAACCAATAAAAATATAATTTTTTACCCAATCCAATAGCCATTAAGTAAGCTAATTGGGCCTCTGTTCTATTTGAATCAGTGATTGTTTTTATATCAACATCGCTACATTGAATCCCTTTAGAGAATGTAACAATGTTTCCCGATGAATTCACATTTGTTGATTTTACTGGATCATGATGATGAAAAGGTTGTTGTGGTTGGTTATGGTGTTGTAAAATTAATGGTTGAACTGGATTTAATTTCGATGTGAAATTATATAAAATGTAGTAAAATTGATTTTCTGATTGGTTGTTATTGATATTGTTATTATTGATATTTTCTGATAATGTTGTTATTAACATATATGGGAAGTCATTCATTTCAAAATGGTGTACATTTAAGATTTTTTTGATATATTTACAATCTTTTAAATTTGATTTATTGTCAGGATCATTTGCATCAATATAGATCCTATGATATAATTTGATATTGTAGTCTATGGTCCTAAATTCTGCAAAGTATATCTGCTTTCCTTTAAGAAATTTTGCTGGAGGTGAAGGATAATTTTGAACTATCAAACATTTATCATTATAAAGATAATCATATTTACAGTTTTCTATGTTGTCGTCTAAACTACCATATTTTCCTTTAGTAAAACATTCTGGCTCATTGCTTCGATTCAGTTGTTCAGCAGAAATAAAGCTAGTTGTAGTGGAGATTTGAGGTCTGGAATTAGGTATTAAAGTTTGTAACATTTTTTAACTTTTATGAACAATAATACAGCGCGAGATTTTATTGTCATCGCTGATTGGTAGATAGATTTTGGTAATTATTAATTAAAAATTTCATTTTAAAACAAAACTGGCGATTTCTTTATCCCAGGGGGGATTCATTCACACTTGAAGCTTCCCGAGATGTGGAAAACATAGGTAAATGATTAATTAATTACAAATTTTCACATATATATATATATATTTTTTAGCAAGAAATTAATATTATCTAATACTAATGCTTGAATATAATTGTGAATATAAGTAATAAAATCAGTGTCTAGAAAATTACATTATATATTAAAACAAACAAAATAAAAAAAATAATGTTTAATAATTTTTCATTTCACTGACAGAAAAATTTTTTTTTTATCTTTCCAAGTTGATTGCTTTACCAAATTTTCTGTATAAATGAACTTTTAAATTTGACATTTTATTCTTTAATTCATCAAATTCGTTCTTTATACTTTCCAACTCTCCTTCCAACAGTGCTTTATCTTTTTCAATTAATTCTTGCACTTTGAGAATTGGTAAATCAATAAATGAGTCTCCTATCTTATACCTATAATTAATTATAACAATTGATTCAATCATATATAATATATTCAGTTATTTATTTATTTCTGGAATAATTAATAATGATAAATTATACTTTATCTTTTCCTCCTCATCTAAAAGCTCCAATTCATTTGTTAAATCATCAAGATATTCTTTCTCTTGTTTTTTATTCTCGTACGTTTCTTCTAAATCGGAATATTTTGTATTTGCTTTACTAAATTCATTAATCCTTTGTTGATCTTCCAATGTAACTTCTACCTCTACTTCTTCATCTTGACTCAACTTTTACAAATAATAAATAAATAACAATGGTAATATATATTATTTATTTTATAGGAATTATATAATCAAGTATGAATTTTATAATTAAAGATTAATGATACTAACCATTCGCATTGTTTTATTTTTAAAATTTTCCAAAGGATTTTAAAGAAATTGGATTTTAAGAAAAATTCTGGAACTCATGCATCACTAGTATCATATTTATGTTACACATCAAAATCAAGTGATGATCACTTGATTTTTCCCATATAGTAAGTATAGTGCAAGTCACTTAGTCCCACAACTTTCTGCGCCACACCGCCAATTTTGGGAAAAATTCCCAATCAAAAATGC